GCTGACGTTTATCTTGCTGTAAAAATCCAACTATGTTTTTTTGGTTGAAGTTTTACTTTGTCATTCTGATAAAAAAAAAAAATCAGATAAAAAATATTACTCCTCTTCTCTTTTTCCGGGCGAATTCGGGTCTATCTTAGAGTAAAAAGGAAATTGCCGATATTTTATCAAGAATAGGACTTTCGACTTTGAAGGAAAATCGATTTTAACAGGATTTCTTGCGCGCGTGCAAAAACATTCACATATAAGATTATAACGGGTGGGGGGAAACATCTGATTTTTACAAGAAAAGTAAAGAATTATAACGGATCATGCGTTAACAGGCATAATAATTTCCTGTCAGAAATTCAAGATTAATTTACGAGGGTTGACTGATAAGTAAGTTTTCCGAAACGAAAATACGCGTTTTAGATAATATAAAATAATGAAATAGATATCAAAATGAATCAAATATATTTCTCTTCTAAATTACATATTTATTTATCAACACAATTATAACTTCTTTTTCTTCTTCTTTTACTCGCTGTGTTCCGTCAAGACTTTGGCGATCACGGCTCTTCACAACTTCGTATTCTTTGTAGCTCTTAGTAAAGTTTGTCTTTCCCTATCCCTCTCTGCCATTCACATGCTCGTTAAGTAGATCACTCGCTGCTTTTCCCTGTCTCGCTTGCTTTCAATATGTCCTATCCGTGTCAAATTCTCCGAGCCCTCTTTCTTAGAAATGTCAACTTTCTGACTCTAAGCCCTTTTTGCTTCCGTTGTTTTTAAGCGTTTATAAGCCACGAAGAACTTTTTCTGATTTACTTCAGTTTCGGCATCGGATGAAAAATTCTTACATTTCGACGCCTCTTTTAATTTCTAGAGAAACCAAATAGACGATGGTGTCAAATCGCGGTTGTATGGTAGGGTGTACAATTACTGTAGATTTCAGGCTCCTTGCTGATCGCGCTGATTGGATCACTTCAATGCCAACGACATTGTGTTGTTGTAATGCCAAATATGTCTACTCTCTGAAATATTTTTACTGGTGCGTTGTTTATAATTGACATACAACTGTTGGATATCGGCCGAGGAAATACTTTTGGCCTTACTTCCGCTGCATCAGTCTGTGAGCGGAAATCGGAACTGGTGTTAGCATAAACAGGATTGCAGCCGGTGGCTAAAATAAACAGCACGCCTTGAATAGACAGGGCGCACAGAAGTCCTGAGCAAAAGAAAATGCGTGCTTGCGTAGACGCTTGATGAAAAAGGAATGGCCACACGAAGTTGCGTAAGTATCCAAATGTTATAAAACCGGTCCTATTCTTGATTTGGACAAACAGACTGGCTAGAGATTCACCGAAGATTTGTCTCCGTCAATTCCTGAGTGTGCAATCCTAACCTCTATGATTCACCCACACTCTACTCATTCGCCGCATCTCGAACAATGTAGATATTTATATATTTTATATATAAGTGTTCGTCGCCTTATTTGAGCCCAACAGCATTATACAACAACGTTCTAGTACCAAAATTCTATAACTCGGATGTATTCATAACTATTTAACGTTATTAATCAGGGAGATTACAAAGAGAAATAGCAATCAGCATGTTTGAACAAGACTTTATATAACAATGCCAAACATCTCTTTATTTCAACTATTAGCGACACGGCGCAGTAAGAGAACTTATAAATCAAAATATGAAGTCGCACTTCAAATTATTAGCTCAGTCTCTGTTGTAGAGATTAAAGCTTCGATTATAGATTTATAAGAAATAAAGGTTAATATCTTCTTATATGACAATGAATGCAGAACCCAATTTCCTTGAAGATGAAAGGCAACAGAGATATTGTTCTACAGCCGATTATTGAGAATCATATGAACGGAAAATGTGGCTTGATTTGGTTTGATTTAAGACATATCAACCTCAATGGGTTATTTAATGCCGGCAAAATTTTTATTTCAGGTAATTTTTTTTTTTTTTGAAAAATTATTGCTGGTAATAATTTTTCTTCAAATGTTTATTGCCGGTAATATTTTTTAGAAAGTATTTCTGGTATTAAAACCTACTTTTACATTTTCATAGTGTTTTGAGCCCTTTTGGGGGTTAACTATTTACCCATAGCTGGGACCCTAACAGGTGCTACTACCTGAGTCAGGGTGGACCTGGGAACACCAGCAATTATGAGGTGGTTCCACGCTCCTCAAAACCTCCTGATCAGAGGTCCTGCTGCGGAACGTAGTTTATAGTCTTACCCAGAACGGACGGAAAATGTGAAGAACGAGGAATTTTTAAGGAAAATGTGAACGAGGAAAAGATCAGAAAGAGACAATTGAAATTTTCGTGATGCTTTTTGAGGAAAGATGGCTTGAAGAATCTGATCCTTATAAAGCATATTCAAGGAAAAGGAACAGAGTTAAGCAGTGGGTTAGGCAGGACCGAACCAGTCCTTGTAAAAATGTTGGCAGAGCAGAAACTTGAAGGATTGGGATAAGCATTGCAGAAAAAAAGGAAGAGT